CACTATGGCCAGGGAGCACCTGCCAAGGCCCCTGCGGTGGTGGCGTGGGGTGCAGGGGACCCCGGCCCCTTTCTGCTGCAGCTGGTGACTTACAGCATCGGGATGGGACACCCAGCATGGTTTAGAGAGACGCTCCTGGTTCAGTGACTTATCACTAAGAACAAAGAAGCCTGAAGCCAGACAAGTTCAAAAGTGAGAGACAGAGACCTCTCAGGGTGCACAGGCAGAGACACAATGGGCCCAGGGAAGACTCCAGGCAGGCCCCAGGGCTGAGGTCAGAGGCTGTGAGCCGCGCGAGTCTGCGGAGGCCGAAGCTGCTGCCTGCACCTGTGGGTCTCCCGCACAGACACGCATCACGCTTCCCACACTGTGGGAGCTCAGAAACCCCACGGGCAAATCTGTGGAAGGTGCAGCGCGGCCCCGCAGGCCGGTAGCTCCCCCCACTTCCTTGGTGAAATCCAGGAACTCTCCTGACTTCTGAGATGATGGGAAACCTTGGTCACTCCCTGAAGTGCTGAGACTTCCCACGTTTCACGTCTCCGCCACTGCGCTTGGCTTGATAGTTGTGACCTGTGAAATGGGCCTGTTCACAGCTCCTGTGCCTCAGGACGGTGGTTCTCTAGACGTGCTGTGTTTTCAACACTCACGAGGATGGATCTTTAAAAGCACTTACTCAGCACGACGTTCCCAAATTAAGGTCTCTATTCTTCAAGTCTGCAGGAGAAGCATTAAGCCATCTTTTCCTCAACATTCCCACTCTCAAAGAACGTGCTCCAGGCATTAAAGGCGGCACGGTGGCTTCGGCTGACTCAGGCGTAATTAGCGACATCGGCAGGCGACACCTTCTCCACCTCCTCGCTTGGAGACAGCCAGGCAGAAACGCCGCCCTTCTGAAAGCAAAGTGGTAGGAAACAGATCTTGAGAAAGTTCGACGATTCTTCACCTTACAAAAGGATGCGGCAGGATTTCTGGAGAAGCTGCGCCCCGCAGACAATGAAGATGCAGCCACTTTGATAACTGTCCTGTGAAGTCACCGGAATCACGTCCTGGCTTTTCAGAGCATCTCCGTGCCGCCTTTCGGCCGCTTCCATGGAAATGTGCTGGCGTCCTGACAGGAAGTCTCCCCTCCTGGCTCTCCTTCCTCCGAGTGCTCCATGCACACGCAGGTGAGCCTCGACTTACCTTCTCCCAGACAGTCTAAGGCAGGGGCACAGCCCCTTCCCTGTGCCTGGGAGGCCATTTCCAGGAACGGCTGACGTTCTGGGGTGGGTTTTCCCTGTGGATAACGCCCTTTCTCCTTAGTTCATGAGAAGAAAACTGGAAGTTTTAAAAGGACCTTTCTAAGAAAATGCAGGCAAAGCAACACAAAAACCAGGATCAAAGCCCAGAGGCCCAAACCCCAGCAAGCAAAGGCCCTGCAAGCTGCTTCTCCAGCCCGACTCCTTCCTCTGCAGCCCGGCGCACCTGCGGCACAGGCCGGCGAGGTCTCAGGAGGGCGGCATCTCAGATGCTCACCCGGTTTTCCCCTCACAGAAATCCCAGGGGAAAGGCACTGCCGTCGAGCCCGTCTCACAGCGGAGAAGACAGAGGTCGGAGGTTTGTTCTGGGACACGGCTCCCGCAACATCAAAGCGTCTCAGCTCTGACACCTGGCTGATGGAGCCCAGAATCTGTGCTCTGTGTCTAGACCCGGCCACCCGGTGTCACGGCAGAGTGGGGGACCCAGCAGCTGCCCTGGCGACCTGCCCACCTCTGCCCCTTCCCATCTGGCCTGGCATAGCCCCCTTCCTGGGGGACCCTGAGCCATGTGCTCTCCCCCTTGTTCCACCTGCTGGGACACCTTGACTAGGTAACTAAGTCTCTCCCTGCAGTCCTGAGACGCCGGCCTCTTCCTGGTGACACCCAGTGGCTGCACAGCCCGTATGTCCCACCATCGGGGCAAGCACCTGCAGCTTCCTGTTTCCAGGGAGGCCTCCTTCTCCCGTGTGACGGGCGCACCCTAGCCCGTCTCCTTTACAAGGGGTGTGTGTGCTCACCTCTCTGGAGGGAGTGCTCCTGTCTAGGGTTCTGTTACTCTGGGTCCCCAGCATGAAATCCCAGCCTCTGCACAGACAGCAGCCACGTGAGCTACAGTGGGTGGAGGGTCCCAGGGCGGGAGGGGGCTTTTGGGCCCAGAAGCCCTTCCTGTGGGGCCACAGCCAGGCCAGCCACGCCTGAGGGTCCGGGCTCCGGGGCAGTGTGCAGCCTCCACCCTCCCACACGTGTCCTTTCCACAGAAAGGCTATACTCTCGCTGCTGAGCCTGTCCCCCGAGATGGCGCGGCCGGCCCCTTCCACCTGCTGGGGCTCCTTGCGTCCAGCCCGGCCTCTGGATGTCATCAGCCGCTGATGTTTATTTCATCAGGTTGTGGGGTTCAGATGCCACGTTTTGCCCAATGTGCCCGGGAGTGGCGGCATGTCGGAAACAGCTGGCCCTTGGATTCACGGGGACTCAGTGGATTATCTGACCATCCTGCCATCCTCCGGGGAGGGGCAGCGAGGTCGCCGTGCTGGCCAACTGGTGGAAACGAGCCTTTGCACGTGGAAGGCTGAGCTGGGGAATCACCAGAGAACTGGCAGCCTTGCAGCTCTGGCGAGGTGGAAGGTTGGAGACTCTGGCGCGCTTCTGTAGCACCAGCCTGCGTGCGCTGTCTACAGCCTGTGTGTGCCAGGGAGGGTGGCAGCCAGCGTCCCTGAGATTGGCTGCAGCTTCCGAGCTTGAAAGGCCACTGTGTGAGTCCTGGGAAGAAAGCCACCTGGGGCTCACCTGTGCTGTGAGTCCACAGGCCTCTCTGCTCCTGTGCCACGGATGTTCCCACGAGGAGACCCCGTGGCTGAGCGGGCACGGAAACACGCTTGTGAAGTTAGCTCACAGGAAGGAAAATCAGAGCTGCAGAGTGAGAGAAGACACCGGGGTCCGAGGCCCACACCCGGTCCACTTGGCTGCTGGATTCCGCATGACGCCCGCCGCTCCCCATGTGCACCCCGACTCCCACCAGCACCCGCCAGCATCGTGGAACCAGGGAACTATCTCGGTAACATTCATTTTCGAAACGACGCTGGCTGATGAGGAAGATCCCGCCTCCCCGAGTTTACGATGTCTACGCATGGAGTCTAGGGGGTCGGTTGGACTCATGCTTGGTTTGAGTGTGTTTCTCGTTTCGGCCCTGCGGTTGTGGGCGGTGGTGAGGTGCGTGACAGACAGGCCCCCGTCACGGTCCGGGGCCCTCGATGGCCCTCCACAGCCCCCCAGCATCCAGCAGGGTGTCCTGAGTCAGGCGTTGCAGGGTTTCCGCCAGGTGCAGGCTGAGTCGGTCCTCACGGTTCAGGCATTCCGGCAGAAATGAACGCTCGTGCTCACTCTCAGAGCTGCCATTACATATGCGAATGCCACATACAATTCTCTGAGAAATACAGTATTTTCAGGCACCAATGGGGCTTGAGATGTCACCAAATTGTTGCTCAAGCACCTTGAAATGTGGAAATATCGGCACGCAATGGGAGCGCGCGCTAAGTGGCTGTCCCCTTGGCTGACCTGTCAGAGGAACGTCTCCGGCGGATGTGTTTGACCGCGATACCGAAGCTCATCTCTAATACGAACGCCGTCTCGGCTCCTTTTCTAAAAGGGACGAATGTCAAAATAGCCTAGGAAAAGTCAGCTCTAAAGTAACGGAACCACAATCCATCAAGGGAGGAGGTTCCGTCAGCGTCGATGACCGGCTTGCTGAATGCACTCCATGAGCTGTCACTCTCTGTCCCCATCACGCCCACAGGGAGAGCATTTCGGGAGGGTGGTCTGGCTTCGTGGGCTTGTCCCAGGGAACGATGGGAAAGGATGCGCCCTGTTTAGCTCCCTGATTGGGAAAGCCAAGCCTCTTGACTGTTTCGTCTCATTTTAAGTTATCCAGGGAGCAGGCTGCTGTGTTCCTCAGTTTCCCCAAACAGCTGGTCCAAGCGGGTCTAGAATTGTGTTTCCTGCCCGTTGTCAGAGCTGTCTGTCCCTGGAGTGTGAACCAGGCCGGGAGGTCCCGCCTCACCAGCAGCCTCCAGCCTTGATCTCCAAGCTCTGCGATGAGGCTTTTTAGTGAACACATGGTTTTCTGGCTTCTTATGGTCCAAATCCACCAGTCGATATTCTTGCTGACTCATCAGGCAAAAAAGTTTTAAAAGATGTAAGCCTTTAACAGCGACTTACAGGGTCCACCCTGGGACCTGGGAACTTAACGGTACAGCGAAGAACGTTTCCCTGACCTGTGAGTGCAGCCGCTGCTTAGGCCAAGCAGTGAAACGGGCTCTGCCCTTTCATCCCAACAGCACAGCCACGGCCACCAACCGGGCCACGCTTGCGGCCAGGAGACCCAGGAGGCAGCAGCAGGATGTGCTGAGCCATCAGCAGTTCTCGTAATAACACCCGGACTTTCCCTATGTAGGAAGTGGCCGTGCACAGCCACTCCACCTGTGGTTTCTCCAGCGAGGACCCTGGAAAAGGCGTGGAACTGCCTTACCATGAGCCTCTGTGCCGGCGCCACCAGGAAGCTTCCTGTGAAGAGCTGGGCACCCGCCCGCCTCCTCCTGCCTCGCTGCCACAGCGGTGACATTTATTTCCCGAAACGGTGCTGGCTGGGCTTGAGCAAGGAGACAGTGCTGCTTCCTTGTCAGAGGGCAAAAGGCGGCGCAGGCGGGCGCTAACAGACATGTATTCCACCACTGAAACCTAGCTGGTGCTCACTCTTACACGCCAGGGAGTGCGCGTGGGCTGCACGTTCCAGGTGGAGGCACGGCCAAGAGCTCAGGAAGAAATGTTCCTGTTTATCTAAATTAAGAGGACTCCCTGCAGAGCGAGCCCTGCCTGTCAGCCTCTGCCACAGGCATGGCGCAGCCACCATGGCCCCGTCCCCGAGGGTCAGGCGCAGACGCTGGGTGTTGTGGGCCGAGGAAGGGGGGAGCGCGGGGGAGGGCTTACCAGGATCATGTGGCCAGTGGTGATGTCCATGTTGGACTGCACAGGCTCCTCGGACCAGGACGAGGCGCTGCTGCGCGCAGAGGGGCTGGGCATCGGCCCGTCGCTGAACTGGGACGAGACGCTGCTGATGCGGGACGTGTGCGGGCCCTCGGGTCGCTCCGGTGGCCGCGTGGCCATGCGCTGGCGGCACAGCTCCTGCAGGACGGGGGAGGCAGAGCAGGGGGTTAGCGGCACTGGGGACGCCCAGCAGGCGGGGGGCCACGGTGCCCACGTGGCACCTGCCCCTTCTTGTGCTAAGATCTGAGGTTCAGGCAGGTGAGAGTTTACCCCTGGGGGGCCAACACAACAGGACGGTCAACGCACCCCAAAGCACCCCCCCAGCACGGCACCCTGAGAAGCCTTCAGGCTTGGGGAAGAAAGGAAATAACGGCCTTGCTCTCAAAACCAGAGAATACACACACACATACACACACATGCACACACATCACAGACACACACATCACACACACCACACACACATCACAGACACACACACCACAAACACACACCATACACACATACATACATCACAGATACACACATCACACACACACACACCACACACACATCACATATCACAGACATGCACACATACCACACACACATACACACACCACACACACAATCACAGACACACACATCACACATACACACACCACACACACCAGACACACACACACCACACATACATACATACATCACAAGCATACATCACAGATACACACATCATACACACACACCACACACACATCACAGACACACACACCACACACACCACAAACACACACCACACACACATAAATACATACATCACAAACATACATCACAGATACACATGACACACACACACCACACACACAACACACATCACAGACATGCACACACACCACACACACACACCACAAACATACATCACAGGCACACACACCACACACACATATACACACCACACACACAATCACAGACACGCCAGACACACCACAGACACACATCACACACACATCACACACAAACACATCTCACATATACACACCTCACAGACACATACCACACTCCATACACACACACACCTCACAGACACAGACACCCTACAGAAGTGTACACCACACATACCACACTCTATACACACACACCTCACACATCACAGACACACATACACATCACAGACACACATCAGACACACATACACATCACAGACACACATACACGTCACAGACACACATCACAGACACACATACGCATCACAGACACACATCACAGACACACATACACATCACAGACACACATACACATCACTGACACATCAGACACACATACACATCACAGACACACATACACGTCACAGACACACATCACAGACACACATACACATCACAGACACACATCACAGACACACATACACATCACAGACACACATACACATCACTGACACACATCAGACACACATACACATCACAGACACACATAAACATCACAGACACACATACACATCACAGACACACATACACATCACTGACACACATCACAGACACACATACACCCTACAGAAGCATACACCACACATACCATACTCCATATACACACACACCTCACACACACATCACAGACACACACTCTACAGAAGCGTACAGTACACATACCACACTCCATGCACACACACACACACACTCCTATAGATTCAAGAAAGCATCCACGGGATCCCCCTCTGCCATCAACATGGAATGTTCTGGAATAATGCCACAGCAGCCTTCACTGGTGGCTTCTCATTCTATTAGAATAAAGGCTGGAGGGAGGTTTGCACTGTGGACTGAGATACAGAAGCTGATGCCACAATCAGAATTTTTCAAGGAAAAAAAGTTACTCTGGTGTTTCTTTCTTTTTCCAAAGCAGTGTCCAGGAGCCCACGCAAGACAGGGCAGATGGAGCCACGTGGGGGATGGAGGGCATGGGGGAGAAGGAAGCCTGCGCTGCTGAGTGGGCGCCGAAGTCAGAGTTCCCAACGGGACACCTCCAGACAGCTTCTGTGGGATCACAGCAGAGTCTCCGATCTCTTTCCCCAAGCAATGCCCAACCACACGACACATGTGTGGGGTGGCATCCCCAGCACCCGGCACATGCCTGGGGGAATCATCCCCAGCACCCGACACATGCCTGGGTGGGGCATCCCCAGCACCCGACACGCGGAGCGAGGGCATCCCCAGCACCTGACACACATGTGGGGGGTATTCCCAGCACCCGACACGTGGGGGGGGCATCCCCAGCACCCGACACATGGGGGCGCATCCCCAGCACCCGACACATGCAGGGGGGCATCCTCAGCACCCAACACATGTGGGGGCACATCCCCAGCACCCAACACAAGCGGGGGCATCTCCAGCACCCGGCACACACGTGGGGGGCATCCCCAGCACCCGGCACACATGGGGGGCATCCCCAGCACCCGAAACATGGAGGAGAGCATCCCCAGCATTTGCAGGGCTGGGTGAGAGCCGTCTGCAGCCAGGACGTGGCCGCGCAGCCTTAGCTGCACAGGACACGCAGGGGCCACGCTGCTGCCGCTCACTTTCAGGGTGCAGCCCGGGTGCTCCCCCACGTCTGACCAACCGTGTTGAATTGAAAGTGTGCTAACCACTGTGGTAGGATATTTCACCCTTTTCCTGGTGAAAATATACCTGTACCCTGAGTCATCAAAATGAAATGATATCCAGAAACATTTGTAAGAGAATCAGAGCCCAACAGAAGTGGCAAAATGCATTCACGGGGAAAGAAAGGCTCTGAGGGGCCTCGTGGGCTGCTGCCTTGCTATCACTTTGGTGGCATCTGGGGGGGGGCAAACCACCCACTTGCCCCACCAGTGATGCATTAAAGGCCTCGCACCCGCCAAGGCAACGGCCAAAGACCAGGAAACACCCCATGCTTCCGTTCTCCTTTTGGCCTGGGTGGCCAGCTTCCTTGGCTTTAAAGACGTCTGCGAAGCCCGCTGACACCACACAGCCTAGAAAATGCCATTTCCCTCCACCGGGCTCTCCGGGATGAGCAGGTCATGCTCCCAGGCTCTCTGGTTCAGGCTCGTAGCGAGACACGGGTGCTGTGGGAAGGGGCCCTTCAGCCCCCACTCTCCATGAACCTGCAGCACCTGGAGAGCAGCTGGGGATGGGGAGGATGATGGCTGGGATGGTGGGGAAGACTGCAGGGGTGGGGAGGAGGACCGTGGGGGGTGGGGGAGGAGGACTGCAGGGGGACGAGGAGGAGGACTGTGAGGGACGGGGAGGAGGACCACGAGGGATGGGGAGGAGGACCACGAGGGACGGGGAGGAGGAC